AACGGTAAATAATTCGTCCTTCGAAAGCTGTTTATCCGTGGGCCGCATCGAGTAAAAAAGTAAAGGGATTTGAAAATACTTCCTGGGCTGATAAATCTGATTATCGTCCAGCGAGAGATACGCAAGATAAACCCTTTATACAAAGGAATAGCAGATGAAACACGCGTATTTAAGCCGATCAAGACATGAAATTCGCAAATAGTCGGGAAATGGACAAACAAAATTCTGATTTGATCCATGCAATGCGATCACGTTATACGTTACTACCTAACAATGCAACATCGTATGTAATATACGGAAAGCTAATACAATATACATACGTACAGGATGTTTCAAGCATAACTCGAGTACTTGAAAATATAGAAATATTTTGACAATACGAAATAATATCAAAGGATAAAAATTCTTTGGTTCAAACAATGATGATAACAATTTTGTGCTAATAAAAAAATTTCCTCCTTTATCTAGAATTATGTTTTTCGTTGATATTTTCTTTTTCATATTATTATATTTTTTATTCTATCAATTGTCAAAAATGTACATTTTTCGATTCGACGACAGGTTTGAATGTATAAAATCATTGTTATAAAGGTATACTAATTGTAAGCTGAGTTCGTTCACTGTAAATCTGATATCAATATATCTATCCAAATCATAATGAAATCTAGCATTCGCTTGATTTATTACGCGCGCAGTCCGAGTGCGATCATTGATCACCTGCATTATTTCCATAACCATAATTCCAATTCGTACAATCATGAGAGGGCTTAAATGATCCTGTCACATGTCTGTTCGTTGAAATTTATCACTGAAAGAGAAAGAGAGAGAGAGAGAAACAAGTTACATTTTTACTTGAATATTACCATTACGAAATAGAAAAAAAATCTCTTTTTTGACTTATCACAACTACAGTATTAACTTATTCCTAATTTTATAAATATAAAAGGATATTTAAAAAGAACGAGTCAATGTGATTTCGAAACAATAGTAATTTTGCACTAGACAGTTGACAGTTCACTTGACAGTTTTTCACCAGATATTCGTTGATGAAAAAACACAACGGTTTCGAAAAAAGTTTCCTCCGATTTGTATAGTGTACTCGTCGACCCGGAGTGCCCTTTCACCTTTACTCTTTACTCACGACACGACAGGACGCGAATCCCCCGAATTTCCAGGGCGAACTTACCCACAGACCCCACAGCTAACGGCTGCCGATTATACTCATTAGCTTGATTGGAAATATGCGGTATTACAGTCGTGTAATTCCCGGGTAACTTTCATTTAGCTCGCTTCGAACTACCACGCCGGTTTATTTCGAACCTGTGTTATTATTATTCTCTCTCTCTCTCTCTCTCTCTCTCTCTCTCTCTTTCTCTCTCTCTCACTCTCTTTTGCTAATTCAAAAGCCGCATGGCAGTCGGCGTTGTGAATCCACGTTGTGCTACGTCGGCTCCATTTGCAGGACATATTTTGCTTTGTCATCAAAAGCGAGGTCAGGAGATAGGGAAATATTCGGAGCTTGCATAGAAAAAAAAATAACTTAAAAGAAAGAGGGAAAAATTTAAAAGAAAGAGATAATTTTTACAAACAAAATTTTGACGAAGAAAGAATAAAATATATATATATATATATATATTCAAATATATAATATATGTATATGATATATATAAAAGTTGAAAATAATGAATATTTAATTCAAAATATACTTTTGTAAATAGTCTGTTTACATCAATATCCCATGATAAATTATTTTAGAAGCCGAAGTTTTCGATAACTTCACAATCGACATCTACCTGATATTTGTTTTTTTACTTGGATTTCAGTCTTTCGATGCATGTCGCGGTTTTCAACGCTCACGATACTTTCTGAACTATTCACGGTACACTTTCCATAGTTCATCATGTTATACGTACATAGCTATCAAATATTTTCGATTTTTTCATCGTTGTACGTTCAAGCGTGATGGACATCTACTGTTATTTTTACCACGGAATTGTTGCTACCTCGAATTACGGAGTATCGGCTTGTAATTAGAAAGAGAGTCCATATCAAAGTTCCTTCATAATTTATGCGTGGTTTGATATCGAAAACATCGTGCTAGACGAACGAAAAAATTATTCTTTGATGATTCTCGAGGCGAATGTTTTTAGATCAATAAATTGAAATATTTAATGTGAATTGATTTACATATATCTTGTTTGTTCGTTACTATGAATAAACGATATTTAATATAGCATGAATAACTAATAAGGAACAGAATAACAGAGATAAGTAATACAAAACAATAAACAATAAACAATAAAGAAAGAAATATAAATAAAAAATAAAGTAAACATCTATTTTGTCGATTATCAAACTAAAAAGAAGTTTCAGTTAATTTTCTTCTGAACTTTTATCGTTCCATCAGAAAAAAATTTAGGACCAAGGTGTAGAGTTTCTACGACTTAGCTTCAAATTTTTGTCGTGACTTAGCCTTAAATTTTCGTGTTTCCTCCTTGGCCGACTCGAAAATCAATTTTTACCGATTTACCTCGAGGTCAGCGGAAATGGTTGCGGACAAGCAATTTCGCGGGCCTAATGTGGATTTCTTTCGTTGTTGCGGGCAAATAAGGACAACAACAACAATATAATAGCAAGAACGTAAGCATGGGTAGACTGAATAGACGAGAGTGTATGATTCTCTCTCTCTCTCTTTCTCTCTTTCTCTCTCTCTCTCTCTCTTTCCTGATAGTTGGGTGGTTGAAAATGGGTATAGGTTTTGGCGGTAGCCAGTGATGGTTGGTGCGAGACTAGCGGAGGACGAAAAGGGGGAGGCTTTGGATACCTTGTCGAGGATAGGCTGCCGGTGCAAGTAGGTTTAATATTTGATAACGCGGGCTGGTCATCCTGCCGAGGCGATAACACAGGCCCCGCGGGAACCTTCCGGCCAACATCCCTCGGAAAACGACTGCTGTCGAGGCCCCCTCCTTCTATCTCTCTCTCTTTCTCTTAGTCTATCTCTCCCATCTCATCCTTTCTTTCATCCACCACACTCAGGAACGGCACTGTCCTTCCTGTCCTTTCTAGCCGGTCTTTCTAACTTGGAAGCGTCGCTATTCCCTAAGGTTGCCTTCCGATGAAAATAACGAACGACGTTTGACCGCCGTCCGTGAAAGCCGACGAATAAGTCGCTTAACGGCCCGCCTAAATTGCTCACCCTCAGAGCTCGGATTGCTATCGAAGGGCAGGCGATCGTGCGAGATTGGAATCCGTTGGATAAATAATTGATAGCCCATTGGTAAGTAGAAGGATGGATAGACTTTCGAACATTTGTCCCGATCGTTCCGATCGCTTTAATCGATTGAGATTACTACCTTGTTCTTATCGTCAAGTTCCAAGAAAATTCAAAGTAGTACAAACGTAGTAAGTTCAGTCAAATGCTCGTTTGAAGAATCTCTTGGAGTTACCACTAGTCCGACTGTAGTAGATACGATTGTGAGTAGTCAGCCACGCACTCGGTACGTATATAGTTAGTCCGGTAGGTACAGTCAGATCGCTCGACCAGATCTCGCGTGCTCGAAGAGGAGCCAAAAGGTGGGGCAAGAAAAGTAGGTAGAAGACCGCATCCTCGTGTCGACGAGGAGACACCGGAACGGGGTAAAGTTGGTTGGTCCTCATAGTAGTCTCTTGGTGGAGGGTTCCGACAGGAATGGAGTTGGAGTTTCAAGAGAGAGAAAGAGAGAGATAGAAATAAAGATGTATGTGTGTGAGAGAGAGAAAGAGAGAGAGAAAGAAAAAGAGAGAAAGAAGGAGAGATACGTTAGGAAGGCGGGGGTGTCGGATCGAAGAGGTGGATGCAAAGAGAGAAACGGGTGGTCGCGGTTAGCGACACCCATACGAAGGCAGGAAGAAAGATGGCCGACCAAGCGAAAGGGATCGAACGCATGCGCTAACATTTCGAAGCTCCGCCTTCCATTCGTCGTTGCGGTTTGACAACCCCTCGTTCTATATCGTAGTCTTCATCCCACCACTACTAGCACCCGGAGTAAACCACCCCTTAGAGGAGCACCCTTCACCCACTCCCACCCCTTCTTTGGAAGAGTTCATCCGCAGAGCACTCTTCGCCGGCCAGTCAGCGCCAAAAAGTGCGGAGCTCTAGGACCAGATCCACGTACGGTCCTGCGCGATTCAAGCCACGGTTTTATATGATTTGACCAGTGGCTTTCTGTCGAGTCAACATTCGCTGCTTCGCTGTGTTAACATTATTTTATGATTAAGTTAAATAAAAAAATAAACATAAATAAATAAAAAATCATTGTCGATCTTAATTAAAGTTGAGGAATAACCGTGTTCACTTTCGAACACGAACGATAGATTTTCGAGATATAAGCAGAGAGGGAGAGAGAGAAAGAGAAAAAGAGAGAGAGAGAGAGAAAAAGAGAGAGTGAGAGAGAGAGAAAGGAGAGACAGTTCGGTGACAAAAAAAAAGTGAATACATCCATTAAAGGAATCAACGAAGGAAAGGTGTCGCGAAATATTGTTGTGACTATTTCGATGATCGTGCTAGATCGTGGTGTGCATCATGCAGGAGTTTAAGTCAACGTTTCGACAGACGTTGGCTCAGTTGGACGGACTAATTCGTTGATCGAGAGTGCGAAATTTGACAATGTGACGAGGAAGAAGACGAAGAAGAAGAAGAAAAAAATAAATAAAACAGTTTCAAAAACGATAAAAGCTAAAGAGAGAAAGAAAAAGAAAGAAAGAGAGAGAGACAGAGAGAGAGAGAGAGAGAGAAAGAGAGAGAGAAAAAGAGAGTGAGAGAAAGAAGGAATTTGGATTGTAGATTTCCGATCTCAGACTTTCTACAGATGCAAAGAATCCTCGTAAGACAATTGATGAGCGGCCGTCGGTGTTGGTGCGATCGTTTTCTTTCAAACTGCTGCCGGTTTTAGGCCTAACGTGCGCGCGCGCGCGTGCGGTGTGAAGCGAGTCGGTGAAAACCGATCACCGGCAGCGGCAGGATGATGTACTCGCCGGACAAGATGATGGGAAGCAAGGGACTCCACGGGGCACCGATCACCGCCCCTGGTTGCTTCCCTTCGGGCAGGTATTCTCCACCACCATATCGTGCCGCACCGGATCCTATGCCGCCGCCGCCGCGACGCTGTATGCCCAATCCCACGGTGAGTTTATCAACTCTTTTCTTCACTTCTAGTTTATTATCGTCGTTAAGTGCTGTGTTTTGTTCTTCGATGACACCATGTGTTTTGAAATCTACAGAAAATGAGCTCTACCTAGAAATTTTTATATTAACATTGTACTATATAAAAATTGTTTTTTATGCTTGCGTTTCGAGAGATTTCTTCCAAGTTATTTCTCTTTTGATGTTTTTTTTTTTATGTAAAGTGTTTCGATTTATTTTTTAACAAAGTATATGAATATACTTATGTAATTGTTGTCACATATAAAATACTATGAGTAACATAAATGTCCGATTCTTAGATATGTCTGATTCTCTTGTTAGAGGAATAATAATAAAGTGAATATTTAACGAAGTTTAATAAAAAATGTGTTAATTGAATAAACAAAGTAATTGTGTCAAGTCAACCTAATAATACAACTCAATCATAGCCCATTTTCAATAATTTTAAGTGGAAGAGTTCATGTTCAATATACCCTTTTGATACTGTTAATATCACATTTAGAGAATGACCACATCTCTTCCACGCTGATCGCGTATCGAGGAACAGAGAGATACAGTGTTTGTCCTCATCGAAATATTTGAAAAAATGAAAGGAGCACATAGAAAAGTTTTTCTTTATTTTTCTGCCTGGCACTTTCCCGCGTCACATAATTCATACGCTAGCTCACTCTTCGTTTTCTACTTTTTCCATCCTCCATTCTTTTTCTTTCCCACTTGTAACGATCGATTTCCTTCGAGAATCAAGTTGTTTCATTTCTTATTATTACACGTTTCACTGTTTATGAATAACATCCGTTCGACATAACGTTATAAGTATGTATAAAAAAGATACTTATCGATGAGATAAGAGAATCGATCATTACCGATAGAAAGAAATAACTAACTTAACTTAAGTTATAAATATCATTGTCTTCGATTGCTTTCCATTTTCAGTCGTTCATTTCAAGTCGTCTAAAATGCCTTTTCCGTGAAAGTCAAATCTGTCGAGACGATTATTTAAAATCATTCAGGGGTGAAAGAGAATTCATAGATTATATCGTTTTTAACTTTACCTCTATAAGAATAAGAACAACGACATCCCATTAAGAAAGCATAAAAATCATCTTCCCTCGTAAAATAAATCTAATCGTGAGACATCGAACGTAGACTCGTAACGACTCCATAAATCTATTTGGCTTTTCTCTTCGACACGAGATCGGAGATCGGGGGAGGAACGTAAAAAGGTGGGGAACGACTTATCGTCGAGTGTTTTCCTAATGAAATATTCAAGGAAGTGCACGAGCTGAAACGTGGTAACGAAGAAAGCCCTTTTTCGTAGGTACCTGCATATATGAGGAAACGGAAAAAGAATGAAATAAAAGAAAAGAAAGTGATAGTAGAGTTCTCTATCTATACAGAATCAATCGAAGTTCAGCAATTTTGCCGGTACGAAAGATGTTTCTCGACGGATGGGAAAAAAGGAAGAAAAACAGAGAGAGAGAGAGAGAGAGAGAGAGAGAGAGAGAGAGAGAGAGAGAGAAAGAGATACACCCTTTGCTTCGAAAGATCAGCGACTCGAAACACATGAGGTTCCAGAGAGAGTAACGTGCCCCGATGCAGAACCACTGTACAGAACTACGATGTTCCTTTCTCTTTCTTCTTCTTCTCCTTCTCCCTCTTTGAACGTCGGAGACCTCCAGCAGGTCTTTAGTTTATTCATGTGACGTAATAGGATAAAAACCGTCGCTACGAGCTGAGTGCCTAGATGAGATTACAGCCGTACTGTTACGCCCGATAACGCGAATCCGACGTAATCGTTCTTTTCTTTGATTTTTCTCTTCGATCCTTTTCATCGCTCTTCTTTTCTTCTTTCTCTTTCTTTCTTGTTCTCTTTCTTTCTCTCTTTTTTCGTGCTTATAATTTTTCTATTAAACTAATTTGCATGTTAATTTTAATTCTGATAAAAATATGTAAAATTTCTTTCATTTTATCTTCTATGTAATATTTCTTACAGATTCTATTTATCTTTAATCCTTCGCAAACACGATTTCTTTTTTCTTATCTTCATAATATCTATTAATTATTTATCCATACCCACGATAATTGATATTTTAGATCGATTATGTATTCATCGTTTGAATGATAATTATTCAAGGATCAATGAATATTACTCACTATTTTTCCCGGACTTCTACTTCTCCAAGCATTCGTACGGAATAACGATGATGGGAGAGATCCACATTAACCAGAGAGTATATTCTTTATTCTCGTCACGTATTACCGTTTTTCATATTTCAGAGTGTTAATCGCTTGTTCACAAATAAGAGTAGTCAAGTTAATCGCAGGTGTTACATTTATGCGACGATTAAAGTTATTCGTTTAGAAGACGCCGTCGACGATAAATTTTGTAAGATATTTAAAAATTCCCATAAACAAGATTTATCCTTAGACATGTCGAGAACCGCGAGATAAGTTAGGAAATTCAATAAATTAAAATATTGGAAGGAAAGTGTGCTCGTTAGTTAGTCGATATAAAAAGTAACGAAGAAAAATAAACCGATGTGTGTCGCAAGTCCTGGCCACTCTGACGAAGTGATTATCGATTGGCCCGTCTACGTTTACTGCGTCATCGTGAATTAAACGTCGAAAGTAAACGCTCTTTCACAGTGGATCACATTAGTGGATCACGAACTAACTATCGAGACGAAGGAAACATTCTCTTTTAAAATATCGAAAATGAAATCGTTATTTTATTCTTCTATAACATAATTTATTTTGCTCGTGTTTAATAAAAATTATAAATTTATATTATGAACTAGGAATATGAATTAACCATTAATTTTGTAATTAAAAAATGAGAGATTATAGAGATATATTATTAATTTTTCTTTTCTTATTTTATTCTCTTTTTCTTTCTTTCTGATGAAATTGATGAAGGACACATTATCAGTGAAGAAATAAAAAAAAACGAAGATGCATCGTCCATGCAAATATTCGTTTCGTGAGTCTTCGCATATTGACGCATATATTATTTATTTGACAAATTTCTATTGAGTGATCGTTTATTAATACTAAAGAACTGTAATCAATTTCGCGGCGGTTTAAATAAACATTTTAATTAAACGCGCGATGCTGCAAAATAATATAATTTCAAATTATTCAATGATTAAACAACAAACGAGGCATTAATGCGCATTGAATGGTCATCACTGTAACGACATGTAGTCGCCATAAATATATATGAAATCAATTAAAATTCTTGTACTCTCGCGGTCCATACGATACGTCACTGGGCAACTCATTAAAGAATCAACATTATCATAACGTTCGTATGCTAGCTTATTAATTTTAATCAACGTAACTGTTTTTATGTGAATTTTGAGAGACAGACGTTGGCCAGTCCCAGACAATGAATGAAATAGTTTCGACGACGTAATGAAATTTCGATAAAATATCCAAAAGCAATTACGCCAATAACGACGATTTTCATTGTCATCTCAAATTCGAGATAATATCGGCTCTCGTTTTAATTACGTGAGAATCGTCTTTCGACGAAAAGTTGATTGATCAAAGGACACTCATGAAATCTGTATTGTCAACGTATCATCGATTATTTTTCGTGAAGTAAAAAACAAAGAAATTCTGTAGAATAAGAATCGAATAAGGCAATCGAAAAATCTGAGTGAATCATCACGTGTGTCATGGGAATAAAGTCTCTTCGCTGATTTCGTCAACTACACGATAGGAAAGACTAATTAACGTTGGTTAATTAGTAATTAATAATGTCGGTTAGTGCAATGGAGATGTACTAGAACTACTTTATATTTATTACGAAATTGTAAAAGCGAGAAAGAGAGAGAGAAAGAGGAGAGCCAAGAAAAGTAGTGCGCGTGTATGTATGTGTGTGTATATATATGTTTGTATTTACTTGTGTTAGCATGTTATACGAACATTAGGTCTCTTTTCGCGTGGGTGTACGAGTTGCTGGCCCACGCTGGGCCATGAGATTGCATAATCGATAATTTCTTCTGCCTACACCTGTGTCCCGCAAGTGTACACCTGTGCACGGATAGAAGATATATATATATATATATATATATATATATATATATAGAGAGAGAGAGAGAGAGAGAGAGAACAAAAAAAAATATAGTAAGACAAAAAAGACTGCGAAACCCGACTTTCGTCCGAGCTTATCTTTCGAATATTTATGTCTTTCTTTATGGTCCCTTTCTCGATGGTCCCTTCCGAACTCTTTACGTCGAACTCCAAACTCTTACGTCTTTTTATTTACGTCGAATGCGAGACCAAAAGTATTCTTCAATTCGAATTAACACATTTGTTATAATACAGTTCTACTCGCTCTGTCATCCTGATCGAAAAAAAAATAGTCGTTGTTGAGACGATAGGACTAACGAAGTAACTTTATCGAATATAGGTCTATTAAGTTATCAATATCTGACGACTTTTTTACATGTACTTCGAGACGAAGGACGATGACATTCCGATCATTTGTCTCTCTCTCTCTCTCTCTCTTTCTCTCTCTCTTTCTCTCTCTCTTTCTCTCTGTCTCTCTTTCTCTCTCTCTCTCTTTCTCTCTGTCTCTCTTCCTCTCTCTCTCTCTCTCTCTCTCTCTTTCTCTCTGTCTCTCTCTCTCTCTACATCAAAATGTTTATCTCTACAACGAAGAATTCGCAAGAATAAGAGATATCGAAATATCGTTTGGCAAACGAAACACATCAATTGGCGAAGGATATGGATGTAGAAGGATTAAAATGAAAGGGAGAAAATGATGGTGATGCGTGATAAATGGGAATCGATTTCGATTTCTTTTTCTCTCTCTCATACTCTCTTTCTCTCTATTGCACATACACTTATACAGATAGATACAGACACGCGGTACTTGCGAGACATGTCGACGCCAACCGAAGTACTCGAGCTTTTTCTTCTTTTCGCCAGTGAACTATGCGAACTACGTGGATACAGCATAGATTGTTCTAC